TTTCAAACCGTTGACTTTAGGGGAAAATGTCAAATGAGCTTTTTGAAAGGGCGTAAAATTTACCATCAATTCATTACATAAAGTTTTCGAAAAAATAATTTGTATTTAATTAAAAAATAATACCGCATTACCGCGGCTCCAGCACTGAAGACCTGGTTGCGTACGTTTCCCGCCAGAAAAGAGCAATGTTTGAACGCTAAATGCCCATTTCATATTTTCGCGCGGTAAAAGAGCAAAGTCTGCCTCGAAAAAGTGACCATACGCGATCTTACGGGAGAATCTGACAGTTACCTTTCTGGTAGCTATTATTCTATGAAGTTACGGCCTCCTCCACCAAGGTGTAGAGGGTGTCGGAACCTCCAATTAGAGTCCCTTTATACTGAGAGTCAAGACAATTTGAATCCATTTCTGATTGGTTCCCGTATTTTAGGCCTCCACAGTGTCACAAACGGGAATAAAGATTACATTTTTACCAATTGCAAAGATTATAGTCTGGAATGGACCAGGGAATTACGGGTTCGGCAAGGAACAAACGGAATGAGAGGAGGAACGGAGAAAGGCATTTGAGAACGGGCCGATCAAAGATTACGAAAAACGTTCAATTTCTGTAATCTTTATTCCCGTTTGTGACATCCATGAGCCGAATTGTCTTGACTCTCAGTATAAAGGGACTCTACCTCCAATCAGAGTGTCTTTGCTTGAGGCGGGAAATTTGGTTTGACGGTCAGCTAACGCTACACTCGACTTCAGTCGCGCCGTGTGACGCGCACCGTCGCACCGTCGCGTTTCCCTTAAATTGCTCTGTAAGTTGGTTTCTTATCGTACAAATTTGGCTCTGGCATCAAATTAGACCTAAATGAGGCCTGCGTCTGCTTTTAATAACCAACGTAACACTCATTTATTCGCTCGTTAGGTATTATCTAACTACAAAATTTTCGACATTGTGAAAATCTTCGTTTCTCTTGTGAATGATGAAAATTGATCACGCTGACGCCAAAATTGTTTAAGGAGCTGATTCTTCAACCTATGCTTGTAAAAAAGATTGATTGAACTAGATCGCAGAGAAACCGAAATGCAGCGCATATTGAAAGGTCGCGTCGGCCGCGTCTGGGGAGCCGAAACGGGTTCCGCCGCGCAACAATAAAGTAGGTAAATTGCCCTCTCAAGCTTATTTATTATCGCACGAAAATATTTTTGGTGTCAAATTAAGTAAAGGTCAGACAATTCTACGGCTCCGTCAGAGAAGGCAAAATATCCATTTTCTCGCCTTGTCAAAAAGCTACATATTTGACGTTAAAAGTTCCAACAATTTAACATTTAAGTTTTTCCCAATTTTTAAAAAAATAAGTCAAACATGTCAAATAGGAAAATGGGTAAGGGAGTAAACTTATGCTGCTAGAAAATACCAAGTCATGTTAGAAATTAATTGCATGTGCGAGGATTTGGAAACTATTTCCGGCGACTTCTTATCCGGGCGCTTGTTAGTAAAAAAACTATACGTTTATGAGCGATCTAAGTAGTGCTAAATGGAGAAAAATACGTTGGTACTTACGTATCTCAAAATTTCATTAGTTTTTTTTCCTACATCAAGAAATCCACGGTGCATTCATTAAAATCGTATTTGAGAGTCAGAACATGTCTGAAAAATTCCTCCAAGACACTTTGTGGCAGGTTTTGGAACCTATTAAACTCATGTAAAACAGAAAATCAGTTCCTTATCTCTCTTGAAAATTGGGCGTTTTTTAGATACCCAAAAACTCTTACTTACGCATAGTAAATAGCAACTGTATATAAGGTGATTAAGTGGTAGGTCAGGTACAACTGAACATTGTTAAAAGGGTGGAATTGTTTAACAACAGTTATTCGAAAATAATACAGAGGAGTTCACCTCTTCAGACAAAGATCATTCATCTTGAAGGTACATAAGAACGAAATGAAAATGTTAAGATCTTTGCACATTTGGCCAAACTGCCATGAGAGGAAGTGAGAAGTGATCGCTTAACTCGGAACCAGTCAAATGTTCAAGCTATTGGAGGCATTAATCTCTGAGCTACGATCAAACCAAATCATTCATTGAATGAAAGACGTGTAAGTTCTCTTTCAAATGCTTGATAATAGATTTTGAAAACTACTCTGTTGTGAATTGAGGACGTTAACTATTGATCTAACTTTGTGAAGAAATCCTTCTTGAGAGGCTTGCGATCAAGCTAGAAAAAAACACGGCATAAACACTCAGGCGTTGCCTTACTTTCTCAGCTCCGATACTTTTCAGAACACCTTTTTTTGCGTTTTTCTTATTTGAGTCCATCAGAGTTTTTACTTTCAGTTCAGTCTGAATTTAAGAGGAATGGAGAAAAGCAAGGTCGATAGACTCAGGTTAGTCCGTTAGGAAAGCGAGAAAAAGAATAAGAAGTGACCCGAATACTACGATACATGTAACAAGGTGGAGAAATGGTGCCGAGTCCACACCATTTCGCGGGGAAATCAAAGCCAAGAAGTTCGAAAATTATAATTGAGTGAAAAATAATTTTTTTTTAAACTCTAATGAGCGCCAGTACAAAACTGAGGGGGGGGGGGGAGTGTTCAGCTGAGGCAGTTTGCATTGGAATATTAAGTTGGAGTCACGGCGAGAGATCTATACCGGTTTGGGTCTTTTCAGACCTCATCAGCAGATCACACTCGTCAGTGAACCCAGCTTAACATGCCGCAAAATCCAAGACAGCATAAAACGCCGTCACGGATATGACCCGAGGCATGACACAAAAGTGTAATCCTCGCACCATCTACCGTCGCTGCTGAACAGCTCTCAAAACAAAACAAGGAAAACCCGAAAAAAATGATTTAGAGACTTCACTGACGAGTGTGATCTACTGATGAGGTATAAAAAGACCCAAACCGGTATAGATCTCTCGCCTTGGCTCCAACTTAATATTCCAATGCAAACTGCCTGAGCTTACCCCCCCCCCCCCCCCCCCCCGTACCGGTACTCATTAGAGTTTAAAAATTTTATTTTTGACTCTAATTATAATTTTTGGAACTTATTGGCTTTGATTTCCCCGCGAAATGGTGTGGACCCAGCACCATTTCTTCACCTTGTTACCTTCCGTTAGGAAAGTTAAGTGTGATAATCTTTGCAAAACGGCGGCGGGGGCTGTCTGCGTTGCCAAAAGATTCCCCGATTTGCTTGTCCCATTCTGCTGTTCAGGCGATCAAATTACATCAGGTATTCTTATGCCGATCGGGGAGGGGGACGTTTGGAAGTAATGGAACAGCAAATCGGGGATACCTACTCATCGGCATATTGGTAACTCCATAAGAGTATCTTGTTATCAGATTGACTTGGGTCCATCGACCTTGGAGGAATGGTTGCCCAAATAAATTTTTAATTTTCAAAGACACAAACCGTATAGCGCCCCTGTACAAGGAGCCATTGGACCAATGAGAGTAGATTGAAAAATCAGCATTTTCTTTCAAACCCGCGGAGGCTGAAACGAAACGAACGGGACGGGAGCATTTTGTTGATTTCGGAAGCTTGAATACGGGAAACCTTTTACCTAACTTTTTTCACCACTAAATATATCTTCCGAAGGCAAATTTAGCAACATTCGGATGCCTATAATGTATTCTTGCTAGTGCAGTAGAATAAGAGAGACAGCGACAGGCCACTTTAGTGGTGCTTAAATATGCAAGAACGATTTACCCGAGTAACCTCTGAGAAAGTTGGTGGCTTTACATTTCTAATGGTAGGGCCGAACAAAATATCTCAATTGAATCTATTCGCTCGACGCTATGAACCGATTTTGTGATCAAAATGGGGGCGTATTCTTGAGTGATTCATCTAGTTCTATAATAGCGCAGGCGCCGGGTTCCTGGTAGGTAGAAACTAGGTTAGCTGGAACTTCGGGTTCGCAGCTTTTCTTTGACTTACTGTATGGTTCTTGGATCGCTGAATCCGAATCTGAAGTTCACTAAAGTGCCTACCTGGTGAACATTTGCCACCTTGGAGGCGTTTTTTGCGTTTTTTTCTCAAATTAGCGGCCAAGCATTAAAAAAAATCGGATTTAGGTAATGCTAAGAATAGCTGACGTACAATTCGAAAGAGACTGGTAAGTATACTCATGCTGGGTTTGCTCGGAAAACAAGGGATATACCTACGGCATCGCAAGTCAAAATTCCGGAAACCTTGCGGAAATGTTACCGCGGTGGCCCTCAACTTCGACAAGGTTTCCTTAATGTTGTAGCATTTTCCCGAGACTCTTCTAGGCAGCGATCTAAGAGAAATTTCACATGCAATTTTCACGGTTGAAGTTTCCCGCAAAGTTTCCGTAGATACTCCTCCTATAGGCTTTCGCGACTATGATATAATCCCATTACCGCGGTAACTTCCTGAGATCCTGGAAAAGTTCCCGCGCAACTATCCTGGAGGCAGAGCTATAAAACTACCTAAAATTTTAGGCTTTATCTGCACCAGCAACGGTTTGAGGAACTTTAACGGAAAAGTATAAAATTGAAAAATGGGAGAACGGGAAATTTCAACGATTTTTCATGGCGTAAGCAACCAACAACAATTATTCGAGGTTTTGTGAGGGAACTTCGAAATTTGCCACATGATTTTTTTTCTTTCTCCAATATTAAGGTTTCTCTGTTTCTATGCGTTTCGTAGTATGCTGAGTTCAGTGCAGAGACTAAAACATATTCATGAAATTTTATATCATAACGCCTTGTCTACTAACACGCGCGGAGTTCTTGGAACTATGGCGGAATAAGTTACAGCTGAGTTATAGGTAGCTTACCTACTCCCTCTGCGTACAGAAAAGGGGCGGAAAAACAATGCGCGGCTGAAAGTTCTGCAATTTAATACATATTTAATACCTATTTATTTTATGCAGTGCTAAATACGAGGGGTATTCGTAAAGTAAGTTAATATGTATCAAATCTTCTAAGCTAATAAAGATACTTTAAATACCTAATGTAAAAAGCTTTTGAATTGTCATACTTACTATCTGCTTTTGGAATTCGGTCTTCCAAGTGTCGAGTGACATCAGTTTTCCCACACCCGTCTCTCGCCACCGCGTGTCTTAAGATATTATGATGATTTATTATTTCTAAAGAAAACAGAAAGGATTAAGTCATTTCTTGTCTAAAATCTTTCTCACTTGGGGAAGATGCAGATCATTATGAAGTCAAAGTGGATTGGTTGACCACCAGTTCGTAGGTTTTACTTGCATCCCAGTTTTTAAACTTTCTGTTAAAAGTAGAGCAAAGGAACCTTTTACCCTTCTCTTCTGTAATCACTGTCTTAGGCTTTATTGAAAGTCCAACTAAGCAGCAGGTATTGTAAAATATTGGGAAGATTTTGATGATGGAAAAATCAACACAAACTATTTGAACCAATAATCATGACAAAATCGTGAAGATTTACAAGAAGAAAAAACAATTATGACATTCGGAGACGATAGGTAGACGTCCACTGTTACTTCGAGGATTAATGCTTACAAAATGATTTCATTTGAATCTATTAAAGCAGACTGAGAGATATGTATACATGACTACCTAATGAGAGTTCAGAAATTTATGGGGTATTCTGCTGTCCGCTAAGGCCGCCATCTTGAAAAGAGGGGGGCGGGGGCCAAAATACGCCGCCGGCGACCGGTTTTTAGCTTATATCTTGAAAAATATCAATCCTATGGCCAAATATCAAAGAACCTTTTAAAAAGATCATAAAATTTCCTGTTAGAAACACTATACATTTATCAAATTGCGACTTCCGGTTCGTGAGATATGGCGGTAGTTTCTTGCGGCTAGGAAAGTCGAATCTTGCGTGAAATCGCGTTTTTTCAACGAAATCTGTAATTATCTTAAAAACAGCGAGTTTGAGGCAAAAAACCGTTCTAATCGAAATAAAAGAGCATAAAATGTCCATGCTAGAAAAGCTTATACATTTACTAGGGGGTCCGCCCCCGGAGCGCTATGCGGTCGGAACCAACGGCGGTTACTACGCGGTGAGGCTCGGCTTGGCCGCGCCATGAATTGTTGCGGTCCATGATGAAACAACTTCACCTTTTTGGTAGATTTACCGCGAAGGTAAGTTACATTATCCATTTAAATATGTACTCATTTCCTTTCATCATGAACCCCCCCCCCCTCTTATGACATTCTAGTTGTATGGTTAATACCTAACTATCAACGGTCAAGATTGAAGATAATGTTAATTTGTCAAACAACAGATCTTCTTTTTTCAAAGTAACTAAAAGGAAATGAATTAACACAAAACATAGAAATAGGAATAAGACAAGCATTTCTTCGTTTAAAACCTTAAGCGGTGGAATCGTTTATTAGCTACCTACACATTTGTTGAAAAGCATGACGGCCTGAAGGTTCAATTGTTTTTGATGGATACGAACAAAAAGCGCAACAGATTCTGCAAAAAGCGTTGAAAAGAGACGACGTCGCATAGCCTTAAGCAATGTCCTGCCTTAATTTTTTCTGAGGACACTCCTCTATCCGTGGCTCAGGACTTGCTTCTATCTAATGAAAAGAATGAGGTGCGTTTGATTTGCTTGCTATCGAAACACTTTACTACAGGGAGTCAAGTTAGAGTATGTCAAGCAGAAGACAATGCGGACTCTCTCATCGTAAATGAAGCTATCATGTCTGCCAAGAGGAACGAAGAAACAAGTTGTTATCGTTGGTGAGGACATCGATCTTCTTGTTCTCAGAGATGGAAAATTTCATGAAATTTATTGGAACTTTTGGGGATACATTCAGGAGGCTAAGAAACGCCTAGAAACAGTGATTCTAAATTTTGAAATTTTTCACCCCAAGCCTAAAACATTCGCGTGTTGCAAATGTTTTCGTTAAGTTTAGAGGTTAGGTTGGGGTTTTTCTTTCTAAACTCCCCTTTTTGCCCCCTCTTTGTGTCTGGCACCTTCAGTAGAGTAGCATAATACCGCAGCATCAACAGAAAGACGATCTGAAACGCTTTCAGACCTCCAAAGGTTTAATCAATAATTCTAAAAAAATTTAATAAATTTTATCTTTTGTGAAATTCATTCGAGCCCTATGAAATTTCATTTTCCATCTCTGCTTGTTCTAATGATATATAGCTTTAACGCCTGAATTAAGCTACGTCTTATTACTCAAACCTTTTTACTTTCTCGCTCCCCTAGGGTAGAGAGGAAGTATTGTCATCCTCCAAGGGAGAAAAAAAAAGTTGAAATTTCATCATTTCTAGACGTTTTAGGGTCCCAGAAGTCAAAATAACCATACTTGATAAAATGTGTGTTCGTCCGTGTGGCGTCCCCCAAATCTGTCTACAGCGATATCTCAGAATCTATCTGTTCGATTTCATTCAAAATATTCACAGAACACCATATCTATGGTCTCCTTATGCACGTCAAACGATTTTGGGGTACGCTAAAATTTGGGGGGCTAGGCTAAATTCGTCGCTGCTCTGGCGTAAGGGCGTATCTCGATTTTTGGACATTTTGAGTTAGGCATGTATTCTTATGTAGTTTGAGCTGCTCTTTCGATCTAGCCTACTCTCAGGTCCGAATTCCCAATAGTTAATGACTTATGGCCATAAAACTGAAGGGCGTAACTCGCCATTGCTGAAAAAAGGACGCGACGTAAGGGCGTATCTCTGCAGACGCGGCGCTGCACCCCTACGACGAGCCGCTTCTCGGCATTGAGTATCTCATATGCCCGTCGTACAACGTGTCCGGTGACGGCGGGTTTTCAATTATATCTTAAGGAAACTTTTTGACTTGATATCATTACTATAACTTACATTTCTATAAAAGTATCAAATCACAGATCTCAAGCATGGAGTTCGCAATGCTGATTCAATTTATGCTAAGCTAGAACGTTCAAATTGAATTCGCATGTGCCGTCTACAGGCGAACGTCTGTTTCAGTGTGATACTTGCTCTCTCAAAATAATAATATTTTCACAAATTAATGCAAGTGGCAATCCTGCATATTACTGGTCATCTCCGCTTTTGTACGGACGGGTTTTCCCAGGCCGCCACTCAGGTGCTCGCTGCATCCTTTCAATCGTCGCAGAGGTAAGGCAGGGTCAAAGAAATAACCCTTAAGCACCCCAGCCTCTGTAGCTTTTAGAATGTGGTTTTCTGCCTCATTACACCCATCAACGCACAAGTGGGAGAAACAGGTGGAAGGAAAGCCTACACTGACCATTCAAATATGATTTCCTCGGAACAGCTCAATGCAGGGCCGGAAAGTCGGTAGCCAAGCCGTCGTCGGCCGTGGGAAGAGAAAGTTGGGTCTATCTTTTGATTTCAAATATTTGACACCCTGTTCGTTCATCTGGAAAATGACCAACAATATTGTGATCTCGGAAGGCAAACTGGAGACGGGTCCTTTGTCGAAAAATTCTTGCCCCGTGCCAGCCGGTGGCAGCCAAGCTCTCGCCACCTCTCTTTTCAGTCTTTTATTGCAAAAATTCGTGGTAATTGGGTAACCTAAAAACCTCAAGTAGGCAGAATTTTCTAAAGGAGGATGAGAGGAGGGGCATACCTACTCAAACTCGTAAGTGGTCACTGACTCTTAGGGCCAGTCTTAAACTCTTCGCGACTTTGAAACGGCCTCCGGATTACGGGTGATGAACTTGTGAATAATTTGACCGTCGACATGGATGTGCTTGTGGAATGGACCAACGGGACTAAAAACGTTGTAAGTTCGGCTGAATTGGAGGCGATTCCTCCGGCGAAAACCCTAAGCTCAGCTAGATTTTTTGAACCATATCATGGACAAAATGAGGGTGACTCAGCTCACAGCGCAATCGGATCTGCAATTAAAGCTTCGGGAGATCTTTTTATACCATCGCAGTTACCTCCCATTTTAAGACTTGCGCGCCGTAAAAACCCATATTCAGTGGAAACATTATCGTTTAAAGATTTCCTCGGTTTCAAATTGTTATCCAAAGAGTTAAGAATTTTAAATGCTCGCGATAACGACATTAACTGGACAGAAATCGTTGAACTTAGAGTTACTAAACAAGAGCCGCAAAAGGTGTTCTTTAAAAACAGTCACTTAGATAAAACATACCTATCTATCAACTTAAAACGAAATTCAGTGAGGTAAAAAGCGAAAGTTTCATTCCCAAGACTGAAAGAGTTAAACAAAAACTCTGGACCTATACCGAAAGAAAAGTACGATGATTTGATATCACTGTGCATTGGAGATACACCTTTGATCAGAAATCCTGAACATGTATCTTTCTATACGTCATTACAATCTGGTAAAATCGCAAAGAAAGGATAAATAAATCAATAATCACGCTCTTAGTTTTGCGAAAATCATATGTTTTTTATGTTCTAATCCTCGTGTGGTTAGTTTTATTGGCTCCGAAAGAAATGTTAGTATCAGGAATAGATGTTACTATATTTTAGCTATTTTGTAATTGTATTGTAATTATTGTATTGTAAATATTTTAATTAAAAAAAAGCAAAAAATAAAAACAAAACCATTAATGCGGGCGTCTGTTTCTAAGCGGCAGTCTCAACCCTGATTCAAACGCAGAGAGGTGGTTTTATGAGAAAGAAAAAAATAACAGTTATTAATAAAAAAAATAAGGCAATTCATACAATGGGTAAACGCATTTTTTCTTTCTTTTTTTTTTAATCAACTCTTCTGAATACATGATAGTCAAAATTTATTAGGGGTTCGTTGGCAAATAGGTTTTTAAAATTCGAAAACGAGTTGAAACTAATATCAAGCGTTAGCCGTGAGCTCTGCGGCATCAAGACAGGGGCGTAACTAGTTGCTGCGCGCGGAAACGGGTTTGACGTAAGGGCGTATCTTGGCATATTTCTTTAAACTTGTCTTAAACCTCTTTAAAAATCAATAATGATATAAAAATTTGACATATCATGAATCCTGACCTTTTTTCCTATAAACCGATGAAAAAATGATCACCGTAGGTTGAATAGCTAAACGATGGCATGCAAAAGAAGACAGCGAAAATCTTATTTTCGCTCTCCTGAAAAGTAGCGAAAAACGAGATACGCCCTTACTTCAGAGGAGCGACGAATTGTCCATTTTTAGCAAAATCACACGGAAAGCTCATTTTGAAGGACTGTAAA